GACTCCCCAGCATGCTTCATTTGCCAACATGGCCCCAGACCTGGTGGGGGGCCTCACTTAGGGATACAGCTGATGCCCCCCACCCTGGCCGCCCTGACTCTCGTCATGTAACCTGCTATTGGCAGCTCTCACATAGGGGTCCTTTTCTGGTGCCCCACTGGGCAGGACTCCCATTTCTCCATTTGGCTGTGCTTTGAGTTCCTAACAAATGCTGAGCCGTGACTCACCCCGGGGGGCAGGGGCACCCTGCTCAGGAAGCCTCAAGAGACCCGTTCACAGAATCTGCTTTCTGCCACCTCTGCAGCCGGGACCAAAGGGACGGGAGACAGCCCCCTCCACACCTTCATTTTGTGCTTCTCTGTGGTTCTCAGAATGACGGAAGAGGGCCCCCTCTCCCCTCCCCTGCTCATGTCTTATCCCTGAAATGCCCTGTCCTCAAGCAAGTCATGTAGCAGGGGCTCAGTAAATAGGAAGAAATGAGGAGTAAAAGGGCCTGGCCTGTCTCTGTCCTCCCTAGTTTCCCAGGGCCGCTGTTAACAGTGCTCCACAAACTGAGTGCCTTAGACTGGAATGTGTCACCTCATGGTTCTGGAGGCCAGAGACGGTGGTGTGGGCAGGCTGTGTGCCTTCAAGGGCACGAGGGAAGGGCTTGCTCCCCGCGGGCCTCCTTGCTTCTGGTCATTCCTTGGCTTGTGGCAACACTGTGACTCCAACCTTCACGTGGCCTTCTCCCCATGTGTTTGCTTGTGTCCACATGGCCCCCTTTTTAGGAGGACACCAGGTATGTTGAGGTAGAAGTCCACCCTACTCTGGTATGACTCCTTCTTAACCCGTTACCTCTGCAGGGGCCTGTGTACAAGCAAGGCCACAATCTGGAGCACTAGGAATTAGGACTCCACCTACATGGGAATTTGGGGAGGGGCACAATCAGCCCCTAATACTATACACGAGGACTCATTCCCTGGGCCTCCTGTGCTCCCTCCCCTGCTCACTTTATGGAGCCCTCTCGCGCCACAGCACACCTTCCCGATGGTCAGGGCTGGGTGCGCAGGCGCCGCTTGCATGGAGTTAGGGGGATTCCGGCCTTAACCAGAAGCCAGAGAAGGCCACCTCCAGTGAATCTCTGGGTCTCAGGGGTCAGGCTCTCCACTTACCCACCCTGGGGAGGAGCAGCCCTGTGCCTTTTTCTGTCTCAGAACCGGAACGTTAAGTGGCAGCACCAGGTGAGGGCTGCTTACTCGGGGGCCCCCTCTGGCTGTGCCTCTGCTGAGCATTGCCCTCCCTTCCCTGCATCCTCTGCAGCATTTCAACCTGCACCTCGGGCCTGGAAGAGCCTGACTCAGCCAAGAAAGCAGTATCAGAAGACATCCAAGAAAGCTTCTCCTCACTGACCATGGAAGACCAGATGGAGGATCCCGCCCCTGAAGCTAAGAAGTAGGTGGTCACCCCAGCCCCGGCTGAGGGGCCCTCCTGTGGTAAAAAGAATGGGCGTGGCTCCTAGTGGAGGCCCCGGCTCTGCCACAGGCCACAGGCCACAGAGTCCATGTGGGGCTAAGTGTCCCTGGGCAAGTCACTTCCCCCTGTGTATGGGCCATCTCTAACCATCCCTGACAGCTAGCCCAGCATCCAGCTGTGGCAGTGCTCTGGGTGGTGGAGAGTGAGGTCTTTTGTAGACTTTGTGGTGAAACCCTACAGCCCAGACCATCAGTCTGAGAAGGGTGGAGACTGCCCGCTGTCTCCCGGCAAGAAACTTCTGAGACCTTAACTTGGCTGTGTTAACTGAAACGAATTATGTGTTCTGCAGGAGCATGAAAATCACACATTTCTTATGAGGATACAAAAGCAAAACTGTTACAGTTTTTGCTAGAAAGGTTACAGGTGCCGCCGGGTCCCCCAGGTTGGAGCAACACCCAGAGAGCCTCAACTGTGCAAGGCTGAGGGCCAGGCCCACTTGGGGGCAGGGCAGGGCTCTGGGCGCCATTCACACCAGCTCTCTCCACCCATTTCCCAGCATTTGCTTCTCCCTGTTTTGGTTTCCAGAATGAGACAGTCTGAAGTGGATCTGCATATTCTCGGCAAAGCCAGGAGAGTCAGTAAAAAGCCATCCATCTTGTAAAAGTCCCCCAGGAGATGATGCTGCTGCCACAGCCACCCAGAGCTCCAAGCCTGGACACAGCTCCTCTCGCATCCACCCATCCACCCCAGCCTTGCCTCCCAAGCCTCCTGCCCCCTCCCTCTGAGCCCCTGCATAATAAATAAGCGTGCCTCCAGCATCTGGGTGAGGCCGTGGGATAGGCTGGCTCCTGTGAGGTCCCCGCAGCCCTGTTCCAGGCTGAGGCCTTGGAAACGTGGTTCCTCTGACCCAGAGCTTCCTCTGTGACCGGTTAAATCAGCCAGAAAAATCTCCCATTCCCAAGGAAACAGATATCTCTCTCTAAGAGACCCAAGCCAAAGGATATATTAACCCTAGGGAGGTCGTGGGTGGGACTAAATTGTGCCCTCCTCCCTAGCCTTCACTAGGTGGAAAGGACTCCGCTTCTGGCCCAGATGGAGAAGAGAGGGTGAGAGAGGAAGAGGGAGGAGAAAGAGAAGAAGAGGAGCAGCAGATGGGAAGAAAGGCAGGGGGAGAGATAGAGCCCCTGAGAAGGGGGAGGGGGAGAAATGAGGGAGGAGGAAACTAGGGAAGAGGGAGAATAAGGGGCAAGTGGAATGAGAGGGAAAGGGGCATGGAATGCGATAGAAAAGATAGTGATGTCTATCTGTCCCGGAAAGCCAGAGAGCCTGTGCCCCCTCCCACCACCTTCTGTGTGTTAATGTCCCCATTTAGCCTAGCCTCAGTGCTCTCTGGTGGATTAGACACCCCTTCCCAAGATGACAGGCCTGAAGATTCCTCACCAGCGTCACCGGCCCAGAGATAGCAGCCCCCCCTCCCCATCTCAAGTGCTGACTACTTCTTGGCCATAGTCACCAGCTCTATGCCTTTTTGTCTGAGGCTCCCAAGAGCCACTTCCTGCAGCAGGAAGCCCAGCATGGACCCCAGAGGGTCTGCCTGGTTCTCCAAACTCAGAAAAGACTTCAGACCCTGATCTGTGGGCAGTGTTTGGTGATGTGCTCTACACTTAACTACTTGTGCCCCTTTGTAATAGATGCCTTTTTAATCTGAAGTTTTTGAGGTTTAATGTTTATCCTTTGCATCACACAAAAGCTTGTTTTGAATTATACATTGGTTCCCCTAGAAATGGATTTGAAACGACATGCTATGTTCTTTTGTCTGCATCTTTTGATACCTAAAGGCCTGATATTTCCTAGGGTTCTTGGGCACCTAACTCTTTTCCCCTCCATCCCCTCATCTTCTCCTGCCTCAAGCACCAGGGCACACAAGGATTGGAAGGCAAGGGGAAGAGAGTTCCACCTCTGTCCTGGCATGCGGGCACCCTCCATTGCCTCAGGCAGCATTCTGGTAAAAGTTAGAATGGAGACACCGGCCCTCCTACCTTCCTCCTTGAATTGGACCTTTGGGCCTACATACTGAGGCCCACTTCACCAGCTGCATGCACAGGTGAGCACAGAACTGTCCCTTAAGGACAGGCCCCAGCCCAACTCAGGGTGCTCGCCTCACTGAAAAGGGACCAAAAACGAGCAGACTTAAGCAGCAACATTTCCCACTGGTGCTACATAATCAAATTGTCCCTTGAGGAGGAGGAAGAAAGGGGGGGAGCCCCCTTTGCCATAGAAATTCCAGGAGAGGGGGTTAAGGCTTCATCTCCACCAACAAAGCCTCCCAAAAACCAGGTGTGATGGGAAGATGTAAAATTATCTGAGACAGTCAAACTCTTGTCTGGCTAGAATAGCTAGACTTTTCCTTCAAGTCCCCTCCTGTCATCTTTTGCCTTGGATTAGGGAGGTCCAAGGTGTTTTAAAGCAAAAAAGATCTGCTCCAGAGATGGCAAACATATGACATACATGTTACTGCTGTTTACCCCTGGGCTTTGCAGGCATCATTAATTAATCACAACACTTTGAACTCAAGCGATACTTCAGAATCCATCTTTAGCACAAAAGTCCAGGCAGCTACTACCAATTGAATACCAATACTTTCCTTCCATGGAGCAATTCTATCCTCTACCTGGGCCTTAGCTTTTAGAAAGACCTTTTAGGGGAAGTGAAAGTGGAACCCAGGCCTGAGCCTGGGTAGGGGTAGGCAAAGTCCTTGGCACTGAGTCCATTCTGTCTCCTTCATTCCACCCCTTTCCGTGGAGGTGGACCCAGGGCACTTCCATCTTCTGGAAAGGACACCTTCTTACAGGAAGAAGGAACCAAGAGGGCTGCAAGACAAAGATCAGACTTCCATTTCCAACCATAGTATGGATTAAATGGCCTGTAAAAAAATCACACAGCAAAACACATATTGAATAACATAAACTCGGCCAGAACAAGACATCAAGCTTTATTTATTTATTTTTTGTTTATTTATTTATTTTACAAATAGTTTATTGTCAAATTGGTTTCCACATAACATCCAGTGCTCGTCCCCACAAGTGCCCTCCTCCATGCCCACCCCTCCTCCCCCCCACATCCATCAGTCCTCAGTTTTTGTCAGCATTCAAGAGTCTCTCATGGTTTG